AACAGGAGTGGTTCACAGAAAGAGAAGAAGCTCAGTAGCTCATAACAAAGGAATGCAACCTACGAAAAACGTATGGTTTCTCAGGTACTTAATCGAGCATAAAATACAACAACTTCACAGCTGCAGTCCTCATACAAACAACTAAACAGCCAGTCAACCAACAAACCTGCCAGTCAGTCAGCAGACAAACACACAGTTCTAGTATAAATCGAATACACAGATTACACACTTATTGTACGCGTGCTGAGAATTACAAGAATCCATTACGTCGACCATGGAATAATAATGAACACTTCTCGTTCCCCATAGGAAAAGGTAACCCATCTCGGCCGACCGATCGACTGCCAAACACGTCGTCCAAATGCAAAAATATTGGAGTATAATATTGGTAGCAGATGCCTCAGATAGCTGAGCAGGGACCCCATACAGATGGTGTGATGAAAAACCATGTTAGTACGGAGAACCTTGTGAGCCAACCTTGTTTCATGGTTCAGTGAATGACAGTCTTAATTATCAACAAGGGCGGCATCCTAAGATTGCAAATACGTAAAGATAAAACAAAAAATGGAACAAGTAAAAAAGCTGTAAGTTCGGCCGGGCCGAACTTTTAATACCCTCCACCATTTTGGTACAAATTTGGCAATTTCCAAAAAAAATAAAATCCGTTAAAAATTCAGTTAAAATCTTAAAAATACCGAATGCTTATACGACGACGTGGGCCTGCTAGGCAACTTTTGTCATAAGTTATTACAATATTTTAATGCGAAACTAAAATCATCAAAATACCGAATATGGGGGGTACCGTTATATGGGGGCTACACGAAGACGTGGACCTGCACAGATAATTTTCCGTGGACCTATATGGCCCATTTTCTGTTTTATGCTGCAGTATCTATTACGAACTTCAAATACCAAATTTGGAACGATTTCGCTAAATAATGTCGCTAAAATCATCAAAATACCGAATATCGGGGGGTACCGTTATATGGGGGCTATTTGATAACTTGATCCTACATGGCCCATTTACGAACTTAACCTGCCTACTGACAAAATATACATGTGTGCAAAATTTTAGCCTTCTATCTCAATTTGTTCGAAAGATAGCGTGATTACAACAGACAGACAGACAGACAGACAGATGGACAGGGCTAAATCGTCTTAGAATTTTACGCTGATCAAGAATATATATACTTTGTTGCGTCTGACATGAGTATTTCGAGGAGTTACAAACGGAATAACAAAATTAATATACCCTCCATAGTATGGTGGAGGGTATAAAAATCAAACTGGTACCATAGGAGTTAAGAAGAAAGAACTAACATTTTCAAGCACATAACCCATACACTCAACAATCATCCATCCATATCATTGCTTAAATGCCAAGGCAAAACAACACCTTGTACACGTTTTCACCTTAACTCCTCTTGTTTGCCATTCCACCTTTATCCAGATTTTTCACATGCCCGTCATGTATTTTAAACGTGCAGAACGAACAACCTTTTATATCTTTTTGTTCTATTACAACTTTACATACTCCTGTGTTTGTTTTGCAAAAAAAAAAAAATATTGAAATTATGTTTATTAATGTGCAGTTGTTTCGCAAACGCAAATCAAAATGATGCCACAGGTGTAATGTAAATTGTTGGCTATTAATTTTTCTTCAAACAAAAGGAGATTGGGAAATGGAACAATTGAGAATTTTTAAAATGGCAAAGGCAATGGAGAATAATTTCGGTAAATGATTAGATGATTACTAAATGCATTACACTGTAATATAAGTATTTACAAGATATATTATCAATTTGAGCTTAAATTTAGAAGTTTCCGACTTGAACCTGTAGTCTCACAATATGGTTAAATTATAAAAACCTGATATGGGTTTTAAAATTGTCTCCTATATAGGTGGTGTGGGACTATAATGCCTACTATTTATGGTACAGCATGTGGTTGAGTAACATGTCAGACAATTGCTTTGAAATATTTGCACAGGTATTTGCTATAGATTGAGATTTTGGTGCCATAGTTCAACCAAATTATCAATCCTTGTGGCATTTGGGATTTTCAGTCAGTTGTTATACTCCTTTGGTGTCCTAAGGGTTTCGATCCTAATTTCCAACCAAATCAGATGCAATTTCGTATTTAGGGTTGTCAGTTAGTAATTTAATTCTTCCAAAAAATGTCAATACTGGTCCATATTTTGATGTTGCCCCAATATGATGGTGTTTTCCGATTTTCGGTAATTTAAGGGGTTTAGTCCCCATTTTAAACAAAATTAGGTGTAATTTTAAATTTCGGGCTTTTTTATACCCTCAGCCATATGGCTACAGGGGGTATATATCATTTGATACGGTCAAAACGTGCCCAGTCGAAATAATGGTTTTAGACCCTAGGTCTCTTTGGACCAAATCCGTTTCAGAACATTTGGAGTCGATCTACCGATGTCCGTCCGTCTGTCTGTCTGTCTGGCTGGTGCGCACGATAACTCTCGAAGGGAGTATCCGATTTGATTCAAACTTAGTACATCGTAATATTTTTGTCAAACTTAGATCGAGTTCGGAGATGAGCAATATCGGCCCACTCCTTCTGGTACCTCCCACACAAAATGTCAAAATTTTCAAAGAAAATAATTTATTGCACAGAAAGAGAAAGGATAATCCGATTTTGCTCGAACTTTGCAAATCCTCATATTTTCATCAGTGCTAGATTATGTGCGAAAATGGACAATATCGGTCCATTCCATCAAGTACCTCCCCCACAAAGGGTCAACATTTTGAATAATTATAACTCTTAAATAATGTGATGTAAGGATCAGAACGTCTTCAAATTTCATACATTTCAATATTATTATAAACCCAAAATCTGGTATTAACATGGGATGTATCGGACCACTCCTTCTGGTACCTCCCCCACAAAGTGACGAAATTTTGAATACCCATGAAGCTCAAACAACGCCAAATTAACATCAGATTCCATTTAGACTTGGCACATCTAAATATTTCTATCAACACAAGATCAGTTATAAAGGTGGTATAGATTGAACCATTACTTCTCCCTCATACATAGGGTTCAAGATTTTGTAAAACAAAACACTCAAGTAAAGAGAAATAAATATCCAACTCTCTTCAAATTTCACACACACAAATATTTTTGCTAACACAAGATCTGTTGTGAAGTTGATATATATCTGCCAACCCCATTCTGGGGTCACAATTTTCAATAATTATATCTGTTATAACTTTCGAAACAATTTAGCAATACTTTACTATTTGCTATTCTCAAATATTTCTCTCAATAAGAAGCCTGATATGAATATGAAATTTATCGGTATTTATGATTTCCCATAAAATTGGATATAAATATCCTTTCTTGTAATTTTACCCAATATTTCGCTCAATATGTTTTATTTGTATCAGATGAAGTATAAAAGTGGAATATTTCGGTAGAGTATAAAGTGAAGGAGTGAGTCGATATAAGCCATACCAGGAATGTCGGAATATTGATATCCTATTTTTGGGTCCGATACAAAATGGACAATATTGGCCCTTTCCTTCGGAACCTGCTCCATAGAGGGTCAAACGTTTGAATAATTGTAACATTAGTCAAATTATATTTAAATAATCGAACACAGGCTGAGGGTATATATCTGTCGGCAATACCGACTGATACTTTTTGTTTTTTTTTTTTTTTTGAGGAATTTAATTTCTAAGAGGTTAGTAATCTTCTTCGAAGTATATCTTTTATTTTCCCAAAACAGTTGAATACAATTTTAATTTTTTTCAGCAGAACAAGGTAAAATTTGAGAACATTTCTGGTTGCTAATTTGCATCATGTTTGTGGCAATCCTTTTTTGCAATTGCTACAGACGCAGTTGCCTCATTGTCTGAGTAACATTTTCTGTAAATTTACATATTATTAGTTCTGTTTTTTTTTTTGTTTTTTTTTTTTTTTTTTTTTTTTTTTTTGTTTTTTTTTCTGTTTTGCTTTTTCTCTGCCAATGTCACTCGCATGCACTTCCACAAAGGTTAGTATGCTTCAGCAGAAGCTACTATTAGGCTTTTTGTTTTTCTGTTTATCCGAGGTATTTAATGTTTTAAAAACAATATATACAAATGTTTTCATAATACAGGGTGATAAAAAAAACTGCAACGAAGTCAAACGGCATAATTTTTATTATTTTTTTTTTTAATTTTCAAATCGGAAATAGCCCAAATGTTGCTCTGCGGTATTTTGGCCCATTCTCGGGGATCCGCTTGCTTAAGGTGATCGAAACTTTGGCATTTCTTAGTGTTTTAGTTTATACACGGTCGAATAATACGAGCGGAGAGCGACCATCGGCTGTTATCACCATAGCCGGCGCTTGAGTTCTGGTGGCCAATCGAAGGTGCATATTTTCAGCTGACCTCCTTGGCAAGTAAACACGATCATTTTGTTTGTTTACAAACTGCTGGACAACGAATGTTTTCTTAACGGAGAAAACCAAATTCTGCAGTTCACCACTTTCGGTCAAGTGAAACGAAGCAACTCTTTAGCTCTTTTGAGTCTATTTTTTACTGTTGCGTTGTAAGTTCTTGAACTTTTTGGAACTTCAAGGGCTTTACTCCGAGCTTTTTTTTCAATATAAAGAAATCGCACTATATAAAGAAATAACACTATTACGCTTGAATTCTATCACGAATAACTTTTTTTCTGGAAAATTCTCATCAAAATGCTTTTGTACGCTTGTAAACAATATAATGAGCTGCCACTGAAATAATTTTAACAACTGTCGGACAAGTGGCTTAGAAATGACAGCAGTCTAAAATTGGTTGCAGTTTTTTCATCTCACCCTGTATTTAGCAAAAGCTTCACAGTGGTGTGTTGTTTGTTGCAAAATGAAAAACTAAAATGAAAAAACAGACAGACAATGCTTTCTGAGAATGGAATGGGAAAATGAAGTTTTCGTTTGAAAGGTTAGCATAAACATTTATTTTTTTTTTTTTGGAAATTTAAAGTAAACGAAAACTCAATTAAATCCAATATTGCAAAAATTGTCAGTGTGTGAATAAGTGGTTATCATATAATTCAAAATTATCTGGAATTAATCGAAATTCATTTATTTTGTACATATTTATTACAAAATAAAAGAAAGCATTTCATACGACCCAAATTTTTGATAATTTCATCCATTTAACAACTTCGTTATCAAAACGGAAACAAATATAAAAATCCTCCTCCGCACAAAAAAAAATTATACTGAAAACAATTAAATATGATTTGCATGTTTACAGTAAACGGCTTTTATATATTTGCATTGTTGCAGCGCGGAAGAGGATTAAAAACGAAAAGGAGTAGGAGAAACGACTGCCAAAAGAATATTCGCATTCATTTATGCAATTTAAAACCAGTTTTAAGCTGAAAACAATAAAAATATTTTGTGAATACTTTTTGTCACGTAGCCGCCACATGGTTATGCGTGATGTTTGAAACACACACATCCACAAAAACTCCATCTTATTGTTCCATTTTATTCAAAGCATCAGCCTTTTTGGCATATTTTTACGATGTCCCTTTGTTGATAAAGGCAACGAACTCCACATGGGTGGAGGAAGGTGGGTTGGTTGGCTAGAGGGAGGTAGGTAAAAGAAGATAACAAAAAAGAAATATATCATGTTACATTGTTGAAATACTGTACCTTTAACAACAACATCAACGGAAGAGGACCAGGCTCGACATGATATTCCTTTCTAGATGATGCTGACCGAAAAAATGTTTTCTGAAATAAAGAAGCACCCACATACCTCGGATAAATGAATGAATATTGTTGTCAACGTTACCCCGTAGACAGAGGAATTCAGAGGTGTCATTTTTATGTTGCAAAGTTGTAACTAAAGAATTTAGGGAGACTTAGAAATGTAATATAATTCTGTTTTTTAGTTCTATACGTAGTGAAGTTTGAATTTTCGAAGTGCTGGGGAGGGGTGCATCTTGTGTAGAATTAAGTTTAAAATAATGTTTTATATACTTCATAATTAGGTGTGGGAATATTTTTTTCCAATTATTAAAGTATTTTGGCAAATTGTTGACAAATGTTTTATTGTACTTAAAAAATAATTCGGAATTCAAAAAAATCAATCACCTAGAAAATGAAAAAAGACATATGTTATATTAAATGATCTTTTAATATGTATGTACAGGGTAAGATAATAAAACTGCAACAAAGCCAAAGGCCATAATTTTTAACTTTTTTTTAATTTTATTGAATGAAAGCAAAAAATGTCTAAATGTCGTTTGTTCGAATTGGTCACCTTTGGCACGAATTATGGCCTTCAAACGGCCAATGAAACCGTCACACGCTGCCCGAATTTTGCTCTGCGATGTTTTGACCCATTCCCGGCGAAGTGCTTGCTTTAAATAATTTTTATCCCAGGCCTAGAAGGCCTTTAAGCCTGAATTTTTAAAGGACATTTTTCCAGCCCCAGTAGCCCTTTAATAGTGGATTTTTAAAAGATTTTTTACCAGGAATTTTTTTTAGGAATTTTTTTTTAAAGGAATTTTTTTTCTAGTCCCAGAAGGCCTTTAAGCGTGGATTCTTAAAAGAATTTTTTCCCCGCCTAGAAGGCCTTTAAGTTTGGATGTTTAAAATAATTTTTTCCAGACCTAGAAGGCCTTTAAGCGTGGATTTTTAAAAATTTTTTCCACGCCTAGAAGGCCTTTAAGCTTGGATTTTTAAAAGATTTTTTTCCACGCCCAGAAGGCCTTTAAGCTTGAATTTTTAAAATAATTTTTTTTCCACGCCTAGAAGGCCTTTAAGCGTGCATTTTTGGTATTTTTAGTGCCAACCTAGCTTTCCAAAATACTCCAACGGATTGGTATCCGGAGATTTTGATGGCCACAGTGCACTGGAAATGAAGCGAGAAACCTCATTTTGTAACCAATTTTGGATGGCACATGCTGAGTGCGATGGTGCTGAGTCCTGTTGGAATGTCGAAGGTCTGCGGCCAAAATGTTTGCGTGCCCTAGGCTTTAATACACCCTTCAGAATATTTTCGCATAATATTCTTCATTTTTTCTGATGCCACGGTCGATTAATACGAGCGGAGAGCGACCATCGGCTGTTATCTGCATCAGCGGTATCGGCAGCCCACACCATCACCATGACCAGCGCCTGGTAGCCAACCGAAGGTTCACATTTTCAGCTGACCTCTTTGTTTACAAACTGCTGGACAACGAATGTTTTCTCATCGGAGAAAACCAAACTCGGCAATTCACCACTTTCGGCCAAGCAATGCAACTCTTTAGCTCTGTTGGGTCTATTTCTTCTGTTACGGTGTAAGTTCTTGCACATTTTGAAATTTCAATGGCTTTAACCCGCGCTCATTTTTCAATATTTGCCGAATGGAATATTGTGATATGTTCAGCTCACGAGTCATTTTTCGACCACTGCAACGAGGTTTTCGATCAAGTCGCTTCTTTACTTTTCGAACCATTTCTGCTGCTGCGTTGTTTGCTCTAACGATAGCCACTTGTGGTTTTCCAGCCATATATAAAGAAATCATACAATCACGCTTGAATTCCATCACGAATAACTTTTTTTCTGAAAAATTCTCACCAAAATGCTTTTGTCCATATAATGATTTGTTGCTGGAATAATTTTAACAGCTGAAGCACGAGTGGCTTAGAATTGACAGCAGTCTGAAGTTGGTTACAGTTTTTTTTCATTTCACCCTGAAAGCTTATAGAAGTACCTATCCAATAGGTGGTCAGATGATGGGATTATTTGCAACTTTTGACAGTTATATTAGAATTTTCCATTGTTAGACCCAGATTTTTAATTTAGAAAAAGGCTCGAATATGGGAGTCCACAAATTACGTTACAGAGATATGGGTCTTTGAACAAACAAAACCCCTGCTAATAAAATATTCATCCCTCAATCTGAGCATTTTTCATTTCCTGTGAACACACCTCTTACATTTTAAACTTGTGCCTTGAAATGAAATTAACCTTAACGGTCAACAGAGCATTAACATTTGAATTTTATTTGATGTCTATGCCGGGCTAGAGGCAACGAACAAAAGGCTTTGCAGATAGCCTTGGCTACTTTGCTCGTTTTATCGACGATGGCCTCAAGAAACAAACAATGATGATGATGACCCATGATGATGATTCCGCACAACTTTCCGCGCAGGCAACACACGTTAGAGTTGGAGTTATAGAACGGCCGACGATGGTCATCTTTCATTAAGTGTAAACTCAACCGGTGATAGTTTGTGGTGTTGGTTGTGATCCATGTAGTTGACTCGAGCGAAATGGAGGCGAAATAGGCGTTATGTTGCAGTGCTGCATACACATGGGAAGCATGGGAAACGCAAAGAACATGCTGCTATTGCTGATTTTGCTTCATTATATAGTTAGACAACCAGCCATTCTCAAGCCGCCCTGTCATTTCTGCGTTTGTCGTTTTTTCCATGTGCCCCTTTGTCTGAGGTTTGAATATTTGTAACTTGCAGCACGAGTTTTGTGAGCTTTGCTGGAAAAATTCGTTGTTGTAGTTTTTCCTCAAACCCTGTCTTCTTTGTGGTCGTCGCTTGTGTGATGATGTTGGGGACTTTGTGCAATGCGGTTTCATTCTTTCACTTTTATAGCGTTTTTTTCTTTATCGCAACATAACCAGTTAGTTGGGTATTTCCTTCGGGATTTCTTGAATTTCCCGGCTTCCCCTGCTGGACTGGCCTTTGTTGCAGCGGATGAAATCTTGTTAGTGTGTTTCAGTTGTATTTTTTTAAAAAAAATACTGCATGGAATATTTTCCTGGATTGTTTCTGCTTTCATTTTGCATTTTATACCCTCCACCATAGTATGGAGGGTATATTATGTTTGTCATTCCGTTCGTAACACATTGAAATATACATTTTAAGCCCCACAAAGTATTCTTGATCAGCATAAAATTCTATATCGATCTAGCGATGTCCGTCTGTGGAAATCACTCTAGCTTCTGAACGAAATGAAGTAGGTTGAAAAAATTTTACTCAAATGTATATTACGTCTGCAGGACTTTTGGTATTGAAAATGGGTCATGTAGGTCCACGTTTTGGTATAGCTCCCATATAATCGTACCTCCCTTTTTCTGTGTTTTGATGATTTAAGCGACATTTTTCACCGGAAATATTTCATATTTGATATTTGAAGTTCGTAATGGATACTACAGCCTGTGACAGAAAATTGTCTGTGCAGTTCCACGTCTTCGTGTATCCCCCATATAACGATACCTCCCGATATTCGGAATTTTGATGACTATAGCGACATTATTCACCGGAATTGTTTCAAATTTAATATTTGACAGCCTATGACAGAATATTGCCTGTGCATGTTCAGGTCTTCGTATAGCACCCATATAATGGTGCCTCCCGATATTCGCTATTTCGATGATTTTAGCGACTTTATTCAACTGGAATTGTTTCAAATTTGGTATTAGATATCCGTAATGGATAGCACATCCAAAGACAGAAAATTGTCCTCGTCTTCGTTTAGCCCCGATATAGTGGTACATCCATATATTCGGTATTTTGATAATTTTAGCTACATTATACACCGAATTTTTTTATTTAAGTTTCACATTTGAATATTGTAATGGCTTATGGTTTCCCTTAGACCCTAATATAACGACTATATGCGATATTTGTAAGATTTCAACAGAATTTTGAACGGATTTTATTTTTTTGAAAATTGCCAAATTCGTTCCAAATGGTGGTGGGTATTCAGAGATCGGCCCGGTCGAACTTACAGCTTTTTTACTTGTTTTCATTTGTTGTAGTTCTGATGTTTTTATGGTCATGGATGATGACGACCCATTACCCACATTATCATCGCTGTTTTTTTCTGCTGCTACTTTCTGTTGCAAATGAGTATGAAAGACTCCATAATTGGTATAAACAATGCACCATTTAGGGCATAATTCCTATTTGAAACAAGCTGAAATAGTTTAAAGCAGAATTTGTAAAAACGAAGATTCCCAGAATCCTGCTGTTTACTTAAAAATTCTGCTCCTTGCCCTTATCCCGTTTTTCATCCACTCATTTGTGTTCTTTGCTTGTCTCAGACGATGAATGGTTGAATCAGCTTTGGTCTCCCTCTGACTTCTGATGAACATTCATTGTCTCGAGGGAATTAACCTTCAACAACCATCCGATCAACCAACAATTGTATGCAGTCAAAATGCAGAGGGGCTAGCAGCTACCTATTCCTCCACCCTGGGGAAGCTATGAAATGTTATTTTGTATTTAATAATCATCAGGTACATATTTATACCCTACACCACAAGGTGGTCAGGGTATTATGTCTTTGTGCATTTGTTTGTAACAGGCAGAAGGAAACGAGATAGACCCATAGTTCCTTTTGATGATCGGCATAGAATCACATTCTGAGTCGATTTATGCATGTCCGTCAGTCCGTCTGTCCGTCCGTCCGTCTGTCCATGTATTTTTGTAAACAAAGTACAGGTCGCACTTATTGCCCGATCCAGATGAAATTTTGCAAAGATCTTTTGTTTGGCCTAAGGACGAACCCTATTGAAATTGGAGATAATCGGTCAAAATTTAGATATAGCTCCCATATATATCTTCGTCCGATTTGCTTTATATTGTGCACCAAACGTGTAATATCAGCCCGAATTGTATGGAATTTTGCATATACCCCCAAATTAGGCCTGAAAATATGTTCAGATATAGCTATAGCTCCCATATATATTGCTCATCCGATTTATTATTTTTGTCCAC